GATATTGATGTTTTGATGATGTTGACTGATCCTTTTGTTGGTGCTTGGACACCGGGGTTTGTTCCCCAAGTATTGATGTTGTTTTTGATGAGCTTGACTCTAATTAGTTATCCTTTGTAGCATGTGCAATCATCATGGGTGGTGACTGTGGCGGTGACACCCGTATCTTTTGGATTGTTGGTTTCTAAGTTAATTAATCTTACTTATCTATCTAACTATCTTGTTTAAGTTAAAGTAATTGGGATTTAGATTTTAGAAAAGTAGGGTGTTACACCAGACCTGTTAGGAATTCCCACCCTTTAGGAAGCCCTCAAACTCTTTATCCCTATAAATACAGAATACAGAATACTCTCTACCCCCTAACTAATCCCTTCTTTCCCCCTCACATCTAGCAACTTCCCCGTGCATCCCTAACTATATGATCTGCTCCCTATTTAACTCATATGGATATCCATCAAAACCCCTTTCCTGAAAATTCTCATTCGCCATCACCATCCTTTAGCTCCTTCTTTACTACACCCCCAAATACGCCCTTCACCCCTAGCCAACTACAACCCAACATCACCACCCCCTCAACACACACCGCCATGTCTCCCGCCACCGTCGCGCAACCGCCTCCATCCAGGCATGCCGCCTCTCCCGCGGCCTCACCGGCCGCAGCCCGCCCTCACCAGCCGCAGCCCGCCCTCACTGTAACACCCCACTTTTCTTAAACTTAATTACAGTTCTAAAACCAAATTCAAGATAAACTAATCAGCGGATAAACAACTTAAATAATAAACTAGTGGGAATGTCACTGCCACAACCACCTCTCCTTGGTGATTGCATAGGCTAAGGATGAACTAAAACATTAAACCAAACTAACATTCGAATTACTTAACTTAAAGTCACTTCGGGAAAAACACCCTGATGTCTATTATCGAACATAAGTATCATAAGTCTACAATCCATCATCAAACATCATAATAATAAAGAGTGTTTAGACTACTAGATCTACTAAGCTAGTCTAACTCGATCATCTCTCAGCTGGGCCCACCTAAAAGGGGTTTTGCAAAACAACACGTAGACAAGTAGGAAAACACCCGTTAGCACGAAGCTAAGTATAACCACATTCAACCCTGTAAAATACTACAGTATATACTTTGGAAAAACATTTGATCACAACTCTAATCAAGCAATCTCAACACTTAGACAACTTTAGATACATCACAGATTTTCTATATGCTCGCAACCTATAATATCAACAGGCATGCTTCAACAGTAAATAACTCATCAACATAATCATTCCAACACACATTTCTCATATCAAGTCTCATCATCAACAAACTCATGCTATCAAGTAATTGCATACTATCAATCAATACGAAATTATCTTCATGCTTTCAAGTTCTCATCTTGCAACTAGATATATAAGACATCAAAATACAACTAAGCAATCATGCTCAAAATAGAATCTCGGTTAATCATTCTCATATGCAAGCTAGTGCAATACTATACTCAAATGCAATCTCGTGCAAACATTCTCATTATGCAATCTCGTGCAGTACTATAAGTATAATTATACACTAGTTTGTAAAATAGAATACTTTTCTGTGGAGGTTTCTTAGAGTCACGAAGACTCGCTTTCTTTCTCTTGAGTCTCTTGACTCGATATCTTTCTTGCTCAAACTTTCTCATACTTCTCATTTCTCTTCTTGTGCGAGGCAGGTACTCCGCCGCAGTGAAGCCCTAGCGTACGGTGCAATAGCGTGCATCAGTCACATCCGTAACTACAGAAAATCTTACTCGTGGGGAGGTAGGTCTTCACGAATCGTGAATGGACCTAACCAGCTCGGCAATCTAGCCGGCCACATACTCAACTCGCCCACATAACCAATCTCGTGGTTCCAACACTCATACTCTGTGGAATCAGGTATCGTACTTTTAGTGTGCACACCCCTAACCAGGATTCAAAGCCTGGCGGGCAGTCTCCAACCTCGTAACGTGGAAATACACCGCGTTACATGATAAATCTATCGGATCGCAATATCCGTTACTTTCTCTTTTACTCCGAAAGGACATAGTCCCAACTAGGGATGTCAATTTAGCCCTAAACCAATGGGCTGGCCCAATAAGGCCTAAAAATTGTAGGGCTAAATCCAAAAAACCAATCCAATAAAAAGGTAAGCTCATTGGGTTGGCCCTATAGGGTTATTGGATTGTGTTGGGCCAACTCAGTGGATTGTTGAGTTGGCCCATGTAATATCCAAAGTTCACTGTAACCCTGTAGGGCCTGCGACACAATTTGAACAAAAGTTTGAGAATCGCGAAGTGAGAAACTGAGAACCCAATTTGCGTCTAGCCGTCAACATCTTCGCCGATTGTCTACGTCGCCACCGATCGTCTGCGACGTGCGTCTACGTCTCCGCCGAACCCAGTTTGAGAACCGAGGTGTCGATCGTCTGTGTCTCCGCCGAACCCAGTTTGAGAATCGAGGTGCCGATCGTCTGCGATGTGCGTCTGCGTCTCCGATTTATAAATACTTTGTTGAACTATTGAGATATTAGATATGTGTGGGTGGCTTCCATATACTGCCTGATTGAATTGCGGTTTTGATTTCGATTCTGATAGTGGGTACTGCTCTAAGAAGAAGGACGATTTATGTAGTGAGGTAAATTTTCTTTCTTTCCTCTTCAAATTGCTTAATTCTTGTTAATTATAGTCTTTGCAGTTGTGTATGTAGAAGGAATGTGAGAAGAATTCCAAATTTCAATTTCTTAATTTTCAATTTCTTATTCTATAATTTGTCGTGCATAATTTGTTTTGTTTCTATTTGCCATAGACTTTAATGCAATATATATGATAATTGATGGGTACGGTTAAGGCATAAAACATGTGCAAGAGTGATAATTTGCAAGTTCTACCTAGTACCTACCTTCTTAATTGCTCTAAAACAAGCAGAATTGGACTTAAGAAGGAGAGAGATGGGTTGTGTTGCATTGGTTTATACTGCAATAGTTTTAATGCAATTATTATATAATTTAAATATTTGGTTTATTTGATTCTGCAGCTATATGCTTATTCATTTAGGAATTTAAATGATGAATTATTATATGCATTGAATTTATTTATTTGAAAATTACATGTTTTCGGTATATTGTTTAATTTTTATATTTTTATTTTATTTTTAGGTATAGAAGAAATGTCTAGTGTGGATGAAACTGATTCAATTGATAGTGATAGCTTATCTACTCAAAAAAGAAGAAAATCATCGGAAGTTTGGAATCATTTTTCAGATGTTCAAAAAGGTGAAGATGGTAGAGGGAGGGTTACATGTAATTATTGTAAAAAATCATATTTGCATGATGTTGGAAGTGGAACATCAAATTTAAATCGGCATATGTTGATATGTAAAAAGAAACCAGAACTTGGAGATGCGGGTGCTATGTTAATTGATCAAGAGGGGAAATTGAATAATAGAGTCATTGATCAAAAAGTTTGTCGTGAGTTAATTACCCAGTGTACAATTGAACATAATCTTCCATTTAAATGGGTTGAATATAGGAGTGTGAGGTTGCTTTGTCAGTATTTGAATCCTGATTTTCAATTCATTTCTAGAAATACTGTGGCATCGGATGTTTTGCAATTGTATGAAAGACAAAAAGAAAGGTTGAAGTTGATATTGAAAAGTATTCCCGGTATGCTTTGTTTAACACGTGATGTGTGGACTGCTTGTACAAATGCCGGTTATATATGCTTGACTGTGCATTATGTGGACGAAAATTGGGTGTTGAATAATAAAATACTTTCATTATGTGATATGCCTCCTCCACATTCTGGCTTTGAATTGTCTAGGAAAGTTTATGACTGCTTGGTAGAGTGGGGGATAGATAGTAAAGTGTTTTCCATTACTTTGGATAATGCTTCTGCTAATGATGTGATGGTGAGACTTCTAAAGCAGCAACTTTCGTTACAAAATAGTTTGCTTTGTGGTGGTGAATTTTTTCATGTAAGGTGTTGTGCACATATCTTGAATTTGATTATGCAAGATGGATTGAAAGTTGCTAGTGTTGCATTAGGAAAAATTATAGAGAGCATTAAGTATGTAAAAATGTCTGAGGCAAGAATGATATCATTTCAAGAATGTGCTCAACGTGTTGGTGTTGATATAACTTGTGGACTTACTTTGGATGTGCAAACTCGTTGGAATTCAACTTATGTGATGCTTGATAGTGCTATACAGTATCGTCGTGTTTTTTGCTCTCTTGGATTAAAGGATAGAAATTATAAGTGTTGTCCTTCATATGAAGAGTGGTCAAGAGGGGAAAGGATGTGTGCATTTTTGTATCCATTTTATGCCATCACCAACTTGATTTCTGGTTCATCCTATCCTACTTCAAATTTGTATTTTTTGCAAGTTTGGAAGATTGAATGTTTGTTGCTTGAAAATTTAGAAAATGAGGATGAAGTAGTAAAGGATATGGCTAAGAATATGAAATTGAAGTTTGACAAGTATTGGGATGAGTACAGTGTAATACTTGCAATGGGGGCTATTTTTGATCCAAGATTGAAATTGCAATTTGTGGAATATTGTTATAAGATGCTTAATCCACATACTTATCAAGTCAAGGTTGAATGGATAAATAACAAATTATACATGTTGTACAATGAGTACACGAAAAGGAGTGTTGGTTCTTCATCTTCTGGAGTTTTTACTTCTCAATCACAAGAATCTTTGGCACCAAAGATTTGTGGAGTAAGGAGATGAGGATTGAGAAGTAGAGGAGGACATGGAAAATTAGATGAAACTCTTATTTCTGTAAGTTAATTTCTTTATGTTGTTAATCATATGTTGCTTATGTTGTTTCTTTGTTATTGGTTAATATTTGTATATGCTTAAATTATGTAGGGTTATATTGATTATCGAAGCAAAGCTTAAAGTGGCAATCAAGATTTAAAGTCTAATTTAGACAAATACTTGGAAAAAGTGCAAATGAATCAATTAGATGATATAAATGTTCTTTTGTATTGGAAAGGAAAAAAGCAAAGTTATGGGCAGCTTGCTAAAATGGCATGTGATGTGCTTTCTATTCCTATTACAAGTGTAGCATCAGAATCCGCCTTCAGTATTGGAGCCCATATTTTGAACAAATATAGAAATAGGCTCCTTCCAAAAAAAGTGCAAGCTCTTATTTGTGCACGGAATTGGTTGCATGGATTTCCTACAAATGGTAATATTGGTGTATTTATCAAGTTTGATTTTTTTTTTGTACTATTAAATAAACTAGTAATTCACCCGCGCGTTGCACGGGGAAAAATTATGTTATTATAAATAAAAATAAAAAAAATAAAAAAAATAGAAAAAATAAAAATATTTTAAATTTTTTAATATAATAATATTTTTGAGCTTCCATTGGTCAAGTATTTATTATTTTTATAGAATACAAAATTATAATTAAAATTTTGTATGGTTAATATAATCTCTAATTATGTACATAATTACATTGATTTATTCTTAATTGTATTTCATTTATATTATAATTTTCACAATACGAATAATAACTAAGATAATTACATTTAGAAAGCAAATTTCAAATTTTGTATGAATCAATTTAAACTCTAATTGATGTGGTCTAATGGTACCCGGGTTGAACTTCCATTTGGAAGGTTGTAAGTTTGAGCCTCAATGGAGGCGTTATTAGCTCTTTGTGTTTCAGTAGGTTGAGAAAGTATATGAACAGATACTACAATGTAATAGAGCTAGTAGCATTCAAAAAAAAAAAATTTAAACTCTAATTGAACACATTTTTTTATATGATTATATAATATATTCTTTATGCACATGTTATTCCATAAACTCAAATGTCATTTTATAAGTCCAAGACCACTTTTTTTGTGGAGATAATTCAAATGTATTTTTTTTCTTTTAAAAGTCCTAAGTTTAGACATCCAGAAAAACATTAAAGACCCATACGATATATACATTTATATACATTTAAATTTTTATTTATGGCTTAAATGATTTTTTTTTATTCTGAAGTTCAATAATTGACCCACGGCCCGCAACATTTGCTTTCTTCATCCCTTCTCGCTTCTGTCATTTCTTTGAAGCATTTGAGAGGGGGAAAAATTATATGTAGAGGCTTGCATTAATTGCATTGTTTCAGATATCGAATAGGTTTTCATTGAAAATTTAATATTGTAATCCCAAGAACCACCATAAATAACAAAAGCATATCAAATAGACTTTCATTGTAAAGCCAGAGATTTAATTAATATTGCATCGTTCATATTTTCAATTAATCGGGAATCGGAATCCTTAATCCTAATATCATAACATTTAATAACTCCATTAATTCAATAAATGTAATCCTTTTTTATGAGCTAGAAAAAAATTAGCTATTTTATTTTTTAAATGTTGTGCTTTTTTTTTTTATAGTAAAAGATGTTGTGGCTATTTTATATTTATAGCTAGTAATAATAATAATGTTGGTAATTAATTGTAACATTAATTATTTCCCAACCATATAGCTTTATTATATGTAAGATGTTATTGTTTTTTGATGAAGATGAAGATGAAGATGGAGATGGAGATGGAGGTGAAGGTGAAGGTGAAGATGAAGATTATGTTGGTGAAGTTGGTGTTGGAGCTTCAAATGTTGCTGGGGAAAGAATAAGGAAAAAGAAGATTGTTATTTTACATTTGATTTGTTTTTTGTTTTGAACTTTAATGTTGATTGTGGATTTGTGGCATTTTTTGTTTTGAACTTTTGTATTTATTGTGGATTTGTGACATTTTTTGTTTTGAATTTTATGTTGATTGTGGATTTATGGCATTTTTTGTTTTGACCTTTATTATTTATTGTGGATTTGTGACATTTTTTGTTTTGAATTTTATGTTGATTGTGGATTTGTGGCATTTTTTGTTTTGAACTTTAGTATTTATTGTGGATTTGTGACATTTTATGTTGATTGTGAATTTGTGGCATTTTTTGTTTTGAACTTTAGTATTTATTGTGGATTTGTGACTTTTTTGTTTTGAACTTTATGTTGATTATGGATTTGTGGCATGTGAATTATATATATATATATATATATATATATATATATATATATATATATATATGTGTGTGTGTGTGTGTGTGTGTGTGTGTGTGTGTGTGTGTGTGTGTGTGTGTGTGTAGATATTTCAAAACTCATCCCGACCTCTACATCGAATGTGGAAATCCTCTCTTATTTATGATGGAAATCCTCTCTTATTTTTAAATTTTTGTTTAGTGATTGAGCCCGTTGGATTAGCCTAACAACCCACTGTTTAGGGTTAGGGCCAACCCAACTCAAAAAGAAAAAAATAAAAAACCATTTAGCCCAAGCCAACAAGCCCAACAACCCTGCAGGGCCAGTCCATAACCCAGCGGGCTGGCCCATTTGACATCCCTAGAACCAACGGGCCCTCCAAAACCTCACTGATATATATATATATATATATATATATATATATATATATATATATATATATATATATATATATATATATATATAGGCTTCTTGAGGTGCGTGTGTGTGTGTGTGGTTTAACTTCTTGAGGTGCGTGGTTTTTGTGCTTAATGTGCGTGAGTTTTGTGCTTAAGATGTGTGGGTTGTGTGCTTAATGTGAGTAGTTGTTGAAACTTAAGGTGCGTGGTTTTTGTGCTTAAGGTGCGTGGGTTTTTCTTAAGGTACGTGTGTTTTGTGCTTAATGTGAGTAGTTGTTGAAACTTAAGGTGCATGGTTTTCCTTCTTAAGGTGTGTGATCTGTATGCTTAAGGTGTGTCAGTTGTGTGAAACTAAAGGTGAGCCATTTTAAAACCTTAAGTGTGTGGTTTATGTTCTTAAGGTGCTTTGTTGTGTGCTTAAGGTGCGTGGTTTGTGTACTTAAGGTGCGTCATTTTAATGCTTAAGGTGCCCCAACTGCACAATCGCACGGGAAGAGTTAGGCCCTTAGCGGGAACAAGAAATGTTGGTGTAATTGTTGGTTGAAATAAATGATTCATATTATTTTTAGTTTGGTATTTTTTTTAATGATTTTTCTTATTACCCTCTATTATATTATTTTCTTCCTTTAAATAACTTTGCGTTCTGTTAGAATAAACTTTAGTAACAAAATATTTCGTTAATTATTTATTATTCTTAATTAACTTACTCATTAATTTCTTTAAGAAAGATTTTAGGTTCGAACCTCATCCCATTTTCCAAAGAATTTACAATGTTAAAATCTCATTGACTCCAATTGAACAAGTTTACACATCATTGTTAGAATTTTATCAATGCATGAAAACTTCTGAAGAAATTTGTAAATTAATTTTACTATATCATTATAACAATATCTATTGTAACCATATATTTCGAATTATTTATTATCATCCTTGATATGGAAAATTAGTCCATGTATTTAATGTGTAGAACATTGTGTATTGAACTATTGAATGTATGAAGAATTGAGTAGAAATGTATGAATAAGATCCAATCTGGGCCAATCCCCCGTAGTTTTCTCTTTATTGAATATGTAGAGAGATTTTTAGAGAGAAATAGTAGTGGAGAGGTGTTGGTCCCGATAGGGTGGTAGAAAGTCTAGAGGGGGGAGGGGGGGGGGGGGGGAGAATAGACTTTCTAAACTTTTTCACAATTTAAATAACTCTTTGGTAACTTCAACTCTAAGTAGCAAGTAAATAGAGTAAGTTTAAACTGCACAGCGGAATAGGTAGTATGTAAAGAGTTAGGCCCAATTAATGAATTAAATACGCATGTAAGATAGAATAAAGTAACAGAGGTATCTTGAATATATAAAGGAGATGGTTCACTCAATATATAATAACAATATTCAAGATTATAAATAAATATCGTATCACGTCGACCGTGTAACGAATATTACATGCAACACGTCAAACTTGCTTAGAATAATTCAATATTTAAGCTCGAGAAGTTTGAGTCACATGCATACGTGAAAGCACACTAAACCCGAACGATTAAGATTGATTGTGAATAGTAAACGGGTTAGTCGGATAAGATAAATAGATAGAGCAAATTATGTAAGTGCGGTATGTAAATGAGAGAGGCAATTTATAGTGGTTCGGAAGTGGCGTAATCTTCCTAGTCCACTTTTCTCCTTTCGCGTCTAGGAGAAATTCACTATTTTTCCACACACAGTTACAATAGTGAATAAGCGCTACACAAGCACTTCATCCGGATGTCTTGCACTTGCACTTTTTGAATTTTCGTGTGTATTGCACTTCTATCTCGTGTCTATCTTGTTCACCTCTGCTCCACACACACTTTGTCTTCAAGTCTTCATGGCTTTTTATAGGCAATCAAATATATCCGTTGGAGTGGGATAATTTGATATTTGAAATTTGAATCTTCATAGCCTGATATTGTTGACAATAGTAGGTCTTCAATTTTGATTTGATTGTCAACTTGCCTGACAAAATAATATCTTATCTCCAATTGATTTGTTCAAAATATTATTTTGTTGTCATATTGAATATCCAACGTATCTTTGAAATAAATTCATCTTATAGAATTTATTTCTAGGATAAGTTTTTATATTCATGTCTTCATAAATATTTTTCCGTTCTGATCAAATGTCTTTCAGGCAATTTTGGATTCTTGTGGCATGTGGGTAGACTTGGAATAAATTCCTTCGAATTGATTCAATTTCTGATCATCTTGCTTCTTTGCCACATTGTGCTCCTTTGACTTTGAACATAGTGCTCCTTTGACTTGAACATTGTGCTTTTCTGATTTGGTCACATTGTGCTCTTTTGGACACATCGTGCTTGTTCACATTGTGCTCCTTTAGATACATTGTGCTCCTTTTGAACATGGTGCTCCTTAGCACACATTGTGCTTGTCAGCACACATCGTGCTCCTTAGCACATCGTGCTCTTTTGATAGCATTGTGCTCCTTTGGACATTGTGCTTGTCCGAAAATTTGACTAGTAAAAAATAAGTCCTTGGGGGGAATCGATCTCGAGTGTGATCGTTTTGAATAAGGACTTCTACCATTTTGCCATTAGGCTCATCCAGTCATTCTTTGCAACGCCATTCCTTTATGCTTCTTTCTCGGATGAATACTCGTAGGACCAAAATTAATTTCTCAAATTAATTTTGTTCTTCCTATGGTAGATTCCTTTTGATTCGCTATTCTGATTTATGATGCTTGTACTCAAAGACCTAAAAACTAAGGGGATCTAAAGTACATTTGGCTTCATCAAAACTTACAAAAATATTCCTATCAAGAGGGAGAAAAGAGACCCCCTCATTGAAGGGTCAATGTGACAACCTAAAAATTTATTTTATAAATCCGGTTTTAAGAAAATCTAAAATAGCCAATTTTCACTCCATAAAAATTTTTATGAAGAAAATGGCGTTGAATAAATTATTTTGAGCCCTTTTAGATGTGATTTGACACTAAGAGTGGATTTAAATTTCAATATCCTAAATTTTCGGGTACATTGCGTGACACGTTTTGAACTAAGAAATATATCTGAGTGAAACCAGGAGAATTTTGAGAAGCTTAAACCAAGTGTTCCTCTAGAAATTATTTCGGAAAAATTCATTTTTCAACCCCAAACAATTTAAAATAGCAAATCTAGCCATTGGTTCATGAAGCTTGGTGGACCACACCACTCCAAAATTGTCTGATAACACCTTTCTAGCCAAGTTATTACATTTTTGCCATCAACCAATCATATGGAATCAACCTAAGGTTTTGTGCACCTATATATTGCTCCCTTATCATACTCAGCCTCTTGTTTCCACCCTTGAGCTCCCCTGCAAGAAACACAAGCAAGCATAGTAGGTATTCTTCATCTTTGTTTTTAATCCTAGCCTTCCATTTCATCTTTGCTTCCATCATTCTCTGAGCTTATAAGTTAGGTTGGTTGTATGGTTTGTTTGAGATGTTTAGGAGGTGACGGGGGTTGTAGCTAGCTGAAAAGGGAGGTGGAAATCAAACTAGAAGGAGATAAAGCTACAAAGGTATAACTCATGGACTCCCAGGCTTTTTACAAGACTCCGTGAAGTCTTTAATGAGTAGAAATGCTAGATATATGTTGTTTTTGAGCTATTAGATGATCTATTACTTGTCTATATGATGTGTTGTTGATGTTTTGGATGAGTTAGAAATGCCTGAGCTATTTTTGCATATGAGAAGAAATCATTTAGTGCACAGGCTGTGTGCACCAGTAGGTTGGCCGGTCCCAGCCAACGGCCCAACAAGGGGACCGTTGGCTAAGGCCGTTGCCCCCCGGGCCTAGGGAACGGCCCTAGGAAAGGGTCGTTGCCTAGAGCCGGTGGCTAGGCGGTCTGAGGGGCGGGCCTAGTTGAGCCCCGCCCCAAGGTCCGTTGAGTGCCTCCAGTGCAGTGGCCGGGCCCTTGTAGCTCAGCTACGTGTCGTTTCGGACGGGGTGTCATGAGCCTGTGTGGCTAGGAACCTCGGGGTCGTCTTGACGCACGTTTTGGCTTTGATTTCATTAAGTTTGGTTAAGTTTTGAGCTATTTATGAATGTTTTTGTGGAGATAAATGTTGCAGATTGTGGTTTGAGTTGTTACACTGAATGAAAATGTTGATGTATCAGACTTTGATTTATCCACATGATGAGCATGTTATTATTTGGAGAAGCATGAACATTAATTGTTA